GAGAGATTAAGCGTGTGTGAATTACCTGAGTCTGTGCATCTCTCAGTAGTGTTCGGCAGCAGCGTCTCTACTAATATCGAAACTGTAAGTTGAACTGCTTCAAGAACAGCGCTGTTATTACCTCCATGCTGAGAAATGTCATGTAGCTTTCACTTGCAAATCTACTTTATTGATAAAGTCGCAGGGCAGCGTTGACAAGTTTCTGTGCGTGTGTTTGATCCGCGTGTGTGCTGGACTGTGAGTCTGTACTGTATATGTGTGCTTTTTTATGAGAAAGTGTGGGAGAAAGAAAGTGTGCATTTTGTAGATAATAAAACATAATTTGGTGTGGAAAACATGGAAATTGTTTGTTGTTTTTGTCATATTGTTTGTAATATGTATTTGCTTGGTTAATGTCTTTTCAAATTTTGGTTGTTTTGATGTTGTAGGTAGCCCATAGAATAAATAATTCTTTCTCCTTATTGTAATTGGGCCCCCTGGGATGTGCGAGGATAGGCACATGCCTAGAATGCCTATATGCATAAATCCGGCCCTGAGTGAAGTGGGTTGAGGCATGATACTTTTGGGCATGAGGTTTCAGGTTTCTAAATTATATAAAATATCTAGGGCTGGATTTAGTTTGCAATTTGGATTATTTTTTAAGATCCCGTGAGTCCTGATAAATGCAATTTCAACTATTTCTGAAGTGTTTCTTTTATAAAGAACACCGCTTTCTCACATAACGCTGTGAAGCAGCCCCTGCATAGATTTAATAATCGATTTTCAAACCATCGACATCAATCAATTTAGCACCACTGCCACAGACAGCACTTGATAAAGTTGCACGTAAGAACGGCCGGTGTCCTGCAGAGTTTTGCTCCAACTTGCCTCAACATACCTGCCGGGAAGTTTCTAGCATGCCTAGTAAGAGATTGATTAGCTTGTTCAGATGTGTCTAATTGGGGTTGGAGCTAAACTCTGCAGGACACCGGCCCTCCAGGACCGAGTTTGGGCACCCCTGTCCTAAGGTATAGTTTGCGGAATAATCCTAGAAAAGGTATACCTGTAAGTATACATTTAGGGTCTTCATAGCGCAGTAAGAGACAACGTTATCGGGAAACGCACCCCAGAGGGGTTTGTCAGTTTGAATGGGTATGTCGCTTATGATTAGAACTTCTCCATCTTGGAATGCATGAGCTTTTCTCTCAATGTCAATGCAGTTCTCATCCATGACTTGCAATGCTACGTTCACCCCAATGCCTATTTCAGTTGTTTACCTACAACCTGACAAGCAGTTTACAACAACAACTGCCTCCCTCTCGTTGCCAGCATGTTCTTTTCTACAGTTGACTTGCTCACCTCAGTTCTGCAGCAGCGTAGTGTGCTTGATGTGCAGGTCAGTATCGATTTTCAGGATTGAGAGAAAACTCAGCAGCTTTATTATTCTCCATCTCCCCCTCTCTGGCTTTCTTCCAGACTTCACACATCTCTTCAATGTTATCCCTTGTTTATTCCTTTTTATGTGTGACTTATAGATTTCCTTCTGCTAGCTCTTATCTATCAATGTTTCTTTTTTTAGCATTGAAGCCCGTAATCCAAGCATACTCTGATCATACCAGGTCATCAGGGCACATTGTCTTACTTTAACTACCAATCTGTGGTGGAAACTTTCATGTACATGGAAACTACAAATAGAAATCTGAGACATGGGCCGCATACCAATTTGCATTTGTCACTGACACTGTAATGGACTTGAAATGATGAGACACAGCCCCCAAAGATTTTAATAATAATTAAATAATAATTAAAATAAAAATATTAAAATAATAATTAAAAAAAAGGTTTTCAAGTCATTAAACGACGTGATTGATAAAACCCTACTCATTAACATCATGTCATTTCAAGTCATTTTAAAACTCTCTTGTCTGACTTGTCACCTATATTTCCCTACTGTACGTCAAAACACAATTTTAAGATGTAGTAGTTTGTCCCAGATATTACATACTGCCTCATAAATACTTACAACTATGCACTTTTAGTGCAGAGTAGAAGTATGTAAATTGGGATGCCTTGATTCAGTCTTGCCTATTCAAACACACAAAACATATGCTCTCTGCACACATCAGTGTAAGTCTCAATCAGTGTTGGCAGTGACAAAGAGCATTTTGTCTCCTTGAAATCCGCCCATGCACACTTGATAAATTAGTAGTAAAACATATTCACGTAAGAATATTTAAACTTACATGGTCTCATCATTGAGGAACTCCAGTTTGCCAGCCACCTCTTCATAGTCTTCTCCAGCTTTGGAGGTTCCTTCGGTAGTGTGGTACGGTACTGCCACCTTCCCCCTCGCTCCAGATGTTCTGTGGACCTTCACCTGCATGATGCCCACGCTTTCACTCACTCGTGTGGAATTGCTCTCGAACGTGAAGATCCCCGCGTGGTCGTCATCGTAAATGGTCACTGTGGCAGTGTGCGCGTTACCCAGGGCAGCTTTTGGAGCAACGTGGCTGGACGCCATAATGCTGTTGCCTGGAGACACCGCATTAGGGTCGAGGACGGAGACCTCGGCACGGTGGACAACACGAGGGTTGCTGAGATTTACATAGAAATGCTCATCTTCCTCAAATATGTCATCGTCAATCACGCCAACTGTCAGCTCCTTCACCGTCTCACCTGGTTTAAAGACCAGAGTGCCCTCGGCGAATTCATAGTCTGATCCTGCGTTAGCAGTGCCATCCTCTGTGCGATAGTCAACCTAGACACAGGAACAGTTTCTACTGTCATACAGCTGAAGTGCTGAGGAAGCAATGCTATCCTTTATGTTCAAGAGGAACAGTGAGTGAATGTGAAAAAAAATTCTTATTCTGTTTTAATGTAACTTTTTGCATAGGATGTGTGATAATTTAAAGATTCCAAGAACAACAATTAATAATAATAAATAATAATTAATAACAATAATAAAATCAAATATGAATCGTATTATATAATAATAACAGACATTTATATTTTATAAACGTATTATAATTGTTATGCTGTATTGTTGTTATTATTATTATTATTATACTGAATAATAATAAAAAATAATAATAACTTATTTTGACTGATCATATCACATAATAATAACAACAGATATTTTTTTATTTTATTAACTTCTAATAATTATTATTTGGTATTACTATGAATCATATGACCAAATAATAACAAAATTATACATTTGTTTTATTTATTATTATGTGGTAATAATAATATGAATATTAATGATAATATAGTATATTTCATCGTCTTATCAACATCACTTAAAATAATTGAATCAAATTTCCCATGGTAAACTTCACAATTGAAAGGTTTAAATAATAAAATGTGCTAATCTGAAATCTGTTAAAACAGTGTCATTTAACTGCTCGTCTCCTAAGTGCTGTAATTATTTAAAATAGCTCTGAGAGTACATCCTCTCTGGGAATCATGTAGGTTTCTGGCCTCAAAATTATATCACATCCATATAATTAAAGTACAATCACAGCAATGTAATCACAGTACTGTTGGGTAAAGACAGCAGAATCATTACCTTGACAGTGCAGCCACTGTCTCCACCATGTCGGGTCACTGAGAGTTTTAAGGAGCCACAGTTCTCAAAGCACTGGTAATGGGAAGGCTCAAACTCCAGGTAGATGGTGTGAGGGTCTTCTTCCTGGGCATTAGACTCATGGCAGCTAACCACCTTCCTGGCTTGGTCTGCAGCATGCTTCTTCAGGATGTTCCCTGCTCCGATCATCATGCGGGTGGCCTGGATGCGATAAAAAGCTCGACTCTTCTGCTGTTGCACAAGCACTTGATAGTTTGCCATCTCGATTAGCTGCTCCATGTCCTTCTCCGGGTGTCTTTGCTTGAGTTCCTTCAGAGTACGAGCCATGTCCCTCCTGGCCTCCTCTTCTTCCCCTCCACCTCCTCCACCACCTCCTTCCTCCACACCGGCCAGCATCCCATCAAGTGCCTCCTTGTGGTGGGAATTGGCACCTTGGCCGTCCATCTCCATATCCATCTTGGTGAACATGCCGTCACCCTCCGTCTCAATGATGATGCCACGGTTCTTGTCAGCACGGTAGCGCTTGTGGACGTATTTGTAAAAGAGCAAGCGACGGTCAGCGATCCAGGCTTGAACCACACAGAGTGGAAAGAAGAGGAAAGTAAGCACGGCCTCCCAGACTTCCACCACGCCGGGAGAGAAGACAGAGAGGATCAAGTAGAGCCAAATGTAGGCGAATATGCTCCAGGCTGCCGTCACAAAGAAGACCCTCAAGTGCTTGATTTTGCGTACCTCACCATCTGGGACCACGTAAACACAGATGGCGATGATGATGAACATGTTGAATGCAGCACTACCCACAATTGTGCTTGGGCCCAGGTGACCAGCCTCAAACTTGTGCCCGCATACCTCAATCACGGATAACAGGATCTCAGGGGCTGACGATCCCAAAGCCATGAGGGTCAAGTTAGACACGGTCTCATTCCAGATGCGTACGGTAGCAGTGGTGGTCTCGCCATTGGGTTTCTTGATCGTTATCTCCTTCTCTTGAGACGTAATCACCTCGATGGATGACATGAACCGGTCGGCGATGATGGACATGCCCAAGAACATGTAGACGAGGGCCACAAAGTAGACGATGGCACGTGCCACCTTGTCGCCCACAGAGGGGTTCTGGGGGTTCCATACCGGCAGGACGACACCATCAGAGCAGCTGTCCTCTCCTGAACAGTTCCCCGGGCTGCTGTGGGACACATCGCCACCGGCCTGAGACAGATGGGCGAGGCCCAAGAGGAAGATCAGGAGGAGGAGAGAGGAAAGGCAAGGAGTGAAGTAGAAAGGGGTCGACGGAAGGCGCAAATGAAGCATGGTGGCAGCGTAGCGGTAACTGTGTCTACCAGTCACAGAGATGACGATCAATAAACCTCTGTAACACACAAAAGCAACAGAATATTCACATTGGTGAGAATGACAATTCAAAAAATACCTGTTAAGTGTATCTAAATGTAACATTCACATTAAGAACAGCTTCAAAGTAGAGGTCTGCATTCCAGCAGGACCTGACGCAATTGAGTGAAGTTTTGAATTGCTGAGTGAGAGTGGGAAGATAGTGCTTTGTGTGCTGGAAATGGGAGAAAGAAATGACTGGTGGGACTCAAGCAAAATATAAATATCTAAATTAAAGTTACTTAAATTAATTTTATTTTATGGCACAAGCATTGTGTGTGTGGGAATCATAAAAAAAGCCTATGACACCAGGGTGAGACAGAATCATACTGAAACAGGACAGAAAATTTTGCATTGATCTCAACCTGCGGGATTTTGCAGGCAGGAGCGGGACAAAGCGTAAAATTTGCGGGCAGGAGCTAGTAAGAAATATAACATATTTTTTATGGGAATAGGATAGAAAAATCTAAAAAATTCCACACAGACCTCTACTTCATTGCTTCAAACATCACCTGAAACAAATTCATTCAGGGAGAATGGGGTTGCTGTTGGTTGCAAACAGAGTTCCTGACAGCACAAGACAGCTTGCATCATGGTGAACTCTTAGAAGGGTTGCGTCTCAGAGAGCACAAGCTAGTCAAACCTATAACAATATGATCATGCCTGACAAACTGTACACATCTGATGATTACAAGGAACCAAAACATAAAAATGCAACAATACCTCATATAATATAGAAATAAGACCTCATCCATTTTATATTGTATTCACTTTTGAGTTAAGCCTCTTAGTCTTATGGCGCTTTTCCACTGCATGGTACGGCACGGTACGGCTCGGAACGGTTACCAAAACGTGACGTGTAAACTCTGCTGATCACGGATTAGCCAGAGAGAATCGTCACTACCTGCGTCACTAAACTTGCGACACAAACACAACAGAACCGCTAGATTTAAATCAGCACAGCCAGCGAAGGATCGAACGCAACTGTTTTGAACAAGTGCACCTTTTTAACAACCAAAAAGTGGCTGTTTCATTGTCTGTTGAGGAAGTTGATACCAGAGGAGCGGATCCAGCGAGCTTGATGGGGCGACGCGGAATGAAAACGTTTTTCAGGAGTCGCGGCAATAGAGGCGCCGCAACTATAACGACATGTGAATAATCCCGCCCACTCTAAAGCGGTACTGAACTGCAGTGGAAACGCAAACCGAGCCGAGCCGTGCCGTGTCGTACCATACTGAGCCGTGCCGAGCCGAGTCGTACCACGCTGTGGAAAAGCGCCATTAGTTTGTGATCTGTTTTCAGGAAGAAAATCAAATAAAAGTTGTTGACATGTTATATCAAATAATCCACAGTGATATAAGGATCTTTTGTTGTTGTTGTTTTTTAAAGGGGTCATATGATGTGATTTCAAGTTTTTCTTTCTCTTTGGAGTGTTACAAGCTGTTCGTGAATAGATAAGATCCCTAAAGTTGCAAAGACTAAAGTCTCAAACCCAAAGAGACATCCTTTATAAAAGTTAAGACTCGTCCACGCCCTCCTAAACTCCTCGTTTAAACACGCCCCCACATGTCTACGTCACGATGTGGGAAGATTTGCATACAGCTGCCCAAATTTGCAAAGAAAGTCAGCATAACTTTATTGTTGCTGCTGCCGCTGCCATGTTGTGAAAACGCTGAGTGTTTCGTTGCCAAAGCGAAAATACTTTGTTCAACCCAAATATTCAGATGTGTGCAGCGCATTTTATGGAGGACTGTTTCCTGATCCTGGTAGAGTAGACTACAATGCCGGCTGTTCTGACTCAGTCTGTAAGTACATTTTCATATTTAAAGAATTTGTCACTGTAAACATAAAACATGGTTTTATGTTTACACGGCGCGATGCAACGCAATGCGTAAAAAGACAGTACAAGTCCTTATAATCTGTAATTATGTCCCCACTGGATGCAACAAATGCCTCATTTATAATGCGTTTTAATGTTTTTGTCTCGTCGCTCCGGGACACGGCATCACAATATGGTAAGGGGCGTAACATTTCTGTCACACACTTGAGGTATTCGGCCAATCACAACGCACTGGACAGCTGGCCAATCAGACCGATGAGCTTTGTAAAAAGCATTTCAGAAAGGCGGGGCATAGAGGAGAAACAATAATGTACAGTATGTGGAAAATAATGTGTTTTTTAACCTTAAACCGCATAAACACATTTCATTACACCAAATACACCAAATAATGTTCTTTTTAGCAACATCATATGACCCCTTTAAGGGTTAATATTCACAGAATGTTTTTTTTTTTTTGCAAGGCGTTAAAGGGGCACATGAATTTCATTGATGGCTGTGAAGTTATCTTCTATACTTCCTGTTATGCACTCATTTTGTAATGCAGTAATCAAGGCCACCAAACTAATGTTCACATATAGACCTATTACACATTAAATAACAGACATGTACTGTACATCAAACAAAAACTGTTTGCCTGCTTTATTGACAAAAAGGAATTTGACTCAATCTAGTATGAAGAGCTCTATAGACTCCTACAAAAAACTACTGCATCATCATATCAAAAATATTATATATTAAAATAAAAACACAGATGTAAGGAACACAGATGTCTTTTCAGTCTGGATAACACCATCCTTGGAACACAGAATGGAATTCTACAATATAAATATATAAATTTCAATATTGGGTGCAAGCTATTTGAAAGTGTCAAATATAGTATATCTTACATATAGTTCTATATCAAACTGAAATATGGGGTCTACAAAAATATAGAAAATAGGGGGAAACGAACTGAATCAGGAACTGAATACAGGTGTTTTACAGGTACACCCTAAAAATCCAAAGCAAAATGACAATTTATTCTAACGTTCAAAAGTTCAGAATTGGTTTATTTATTAAGATTTATATACAGAGATCTGGCATGAAACTCTAGATGACGCAGCTGGGAATCTGCAATAGGTCTAACTCAGTCTGACCTAATGACATCATTATCACATGGCACAGCTGATTGGTTCTCTCCTGTATCGGTAGCCAATGAGCTCGCTGCTCAACATTCAAATATATGACTAGTGCTTGCCGTAGCAGTTGCAGCTTGCTTCAGAAACCTTCCACCTTCCCCAGCTCCACCTGTATAGATCTGCTACGAGGTGATTCATGTACGCTATATGGGGAGTTATTTCATGTATGTTATATTTGCAGCAGCAATATTCTTACATGCCCACAGCAGCATGTTGTGGATGTATTGGCAGTAGCAAGTCCCTCCGAGAGTTGTCATGACAGAACTATGTTTTTGAAACAAATATTTTGTGCTTACCAAGGATGCATTTATTTGGTAACAATATATAGGAAATATTGTAAATGCTGACAAGCTAACTTTATTGTTTCATGTCAGTGTTTAATGTTAAATCTGACTCTAAATAAATCATACGAATGTGGAATGGTGCCAGTGACTGGAGCGCATCCCACCCTCTATACAGGAATCCGTGTAGAGACAAGTTTATATAACAACTGGAATCACACATTTGGCCTGTTGACTAAGTCACACATGCACACACATCAGTATACAGTGGGGCAAAAAAGTATTTAGTCAGCCACCAATTGTGCAAGTTCTCCCACTTAAAACGATGAGAGAGGCCTGTAATTTTCATCATAGGTATACCTCAACTATGAGAGACAAAATGAGAAAAAAAATCCTCTCAGCTTTGTCTTCACAGGAATAAATTACATTTGAAAACATATGACAATAGAAAACAGTTCTATTAACTTGTAACAATATTTCACAATATTGCTGTTTTAACTGTATTTAATAAATGTAAAACTAAATAAATGTAGCCTTTGTGAGCATAAGAGATTTATTTAAAAAACATTAAAAAATCTTTCCAACCAAACTTTTGAACGGTAGTGTTATCGTAAAATGTAACTGTACAAATATATTCATAATATAATATAAACAATTTTAAAAAAGTGTTTGCACATTTATAAAGCTGTGTATGTTTCAGAGCATATCCAGACATACAAAAATGCAAATACTATGTTGTATGTACAAATACCTATGAATACTAATTAGATCAAGCTGGAAAAACAGCAAAATGCTACACAACAACCAAAGACAATGTTTTTGACAATCTAGCACATGCTTACTTGCCAAAAATAAAACAAAATAAGCAGGCAGAATCTTTATTGTGTGTGATCAGCCCTTAAAGGATTAGTTCACTTACAGAATAAAAATTTCCTGATAATTTACTTACCCCCATGTCATCCAAGATGTTCATGTCTTTCTGTCTTCAGTCGCAAAGAAATTGAGGTTTTTGAGGAAAACATTCCAGGATTTTTCTTTCATTTTTCTTCATATAATGGACTTCAATGGTGGCCAACGGGCTGAAGGGCCAAATTGCAGTTTCAATGCAGCTTCAAAGAGCTCTACACGATCCCAGCCGAGGAATAAGGGTCTTATCTAGTCATTTTCTTAAAAAAAAAAACTAATTTATATACTTTTCAACCACAAATTCTCGTCTTGCACTAGCTCGATTCCCCACATTATGTAATCACAATGGTAAGGTCACGTGTATGACGTAGGCGAAGTACGGACCCAGTGTTTAAAAAGCGAACATGCAAAGAAAGTCAAATACCCTTTTACAAAAAAGGTAAAACAAAGATGTTGGACGATTTTGAAGTTGGAGGAGAAAATGAGATGGAGTTTTTTGCCCTACCCTAACTTTTTGAACTGGAGTACACAGACAAAGAGATAACCATGTGTGACCTTTCCAACGTGAATACATAATGTATGAATTTGTGGACGTGCATCGCAGAGCTAGTGCAAGATGTGCATTCGTGGTTAAAAAATATATACTTTTTTTTTTTAAAGAAAATGTCAGATCGTTTCGCTAGATACGACCATTATTCCTCGGCCGAGTTTGTGTAGAGCCCTTTGAAGCTGCACTGAAACTGCAGTTTGGACCTTCAACCCGTTGGCCACCATT